GGGCGCTTATTCGAAGGGGGCACTTATTCGAGGGGGGCGCTAATTCGAGGATTTACGGTACCTAAAATAACTTTCAAAGAGATTAACTTAAGAATAAGGCGTGTATGGAGGATTAACCCTCTTACATGTACTCTTCATGCTGTCTTGGAATCGTTTAATCTGAATTAAGAACGCTAGCAAAAATGGTCAAATGTTATGAACAGATTATACTTACCCGTCGTCGATCAATACATATTCATCAGGGCCTCCAGGAGCATTATCAAGGTCCGCAACGACCTTTCGCAAATGAACATCCAGATATTCCGGTACACCAGCGTCATTAGTAATCATTACCTTGCCGTATACGTCAGTACTCAGGTCAATGACGGAAGTAACTTGAGAATCATCACTGACGAGGTGAACGGTGAACGTGATTACAAAATCCGCAATACCTGAAAAGGAAGAACACATTCAGAATTCTATGGCTTGAAAAAAAAAAAGGAAAAAAGAACGGCTTACAGTTAAATTGTAACCTACTAATATGTAAGATCTTTCTCGACAACGGACAATTTGTGGAAAGCAAAGGTATTTGTAAAAGGTTGCTGTTACAACTCTGCTTTTGAGCTGGTGTATCGCTTGTTTTAAGAACTGCTTCATTAGACTCATTAGAACTCAGTTAAGTCCTACGTCCGCTTCTTCACTCTCAAAATTATATCTTAAAAGATCCATGATGACTTGAATGACATCTACAAATATTTCAAGAAATAGGCCGAATGTTGTAATATCGTGAAAGGTGTGTTGTTAGTTTTTATAGTTTATCTTGGCTGACAAGGTTGTAAAGAGATAAAGTGAGAACTAGCTGGAATAAGCCTTCTATAACTGGGAGGATGGAATTTTATGCGCTGAGTCTGGATGGTAAAAAAATCTGGGCATGGGTCGGAAAATAGTTTTAAAGCAATTACTAGGTCTAGTGCTTAATGAAACCGTTGAAAGATGTTATTAAGAGGGAGTACACACGAAAACACACCATTATTTCAAACTTTTTTTCATGGCTAAGATTTAATTCCAAACCATGGCAACGTATACATTTTTAGAAAGCTTAAAGACCAAAGATTATCAAAAAAAGATATTTTTGTGTCCTGGAACTGTATTGTAAACTGACACTGGCTGATTAAATCTGCCACCGGCACCTGTTGGGGAATGCCAGGGTTTACTTGAGCAAAGGTAACTCCCGTACAAGAACTGATCAAAATGACTAATTTTTGCATTTTTTAAACGAAGACAAATAGCTTACTGTTTTAAGCATAGAGACTTTTAAAAGGAATGGTTACCAGCCAAATCTGATACAGAAAATCGAACGCGCGTACGTTTCAATGCATAACTTCGACAAAGTGCACTGCATGGATTGCAATGTTCTATGTTCAAAACACAAAACTCATACTTAGAAAAACAAATCCTGGAAATTTCAGCTCAATTGACAAACCGTTTTCAAAATATCTTTTCTCAAAGGCAACTGAAATAACTCGTTTTGAGAAAACGAGCTTTGAATTTACAGAAACAGAAATTCTTAAAATAAAACTTCAATACCTTAAGATTCAAATTCCGGTAAAAACAAAGATCTGAGTTTTTACAGAATTTTAGGTTAACCCGCGCCTTAAGTTTAGACCGTTTTGTTGAGGCTCATTGCCAAGTGATGCTTATCCACTGCGTGTCTAATCGCTTCCTCTTGCTCTTCTCTACACAATTATTGTTCGGGTTTTCAGATTTGGAATTATAAAATAATGCCCACAGCAAGAAAGCAGTCAGCAAAAAAGAGATCAAACAATGAAAGGAAAAGTAGATTCTACCAGGTTATTTTAAATTAGTACTAGTTTGGGGCTATCTTCGCGAAACGTCAAACCGGCCGGGAGCGTTGACAGGCATCCGTGTTCATAACCAAAAGTTCTCGTGAATTTTTCGGTAGGTCGCCCGAAACCGTCGAGTTGCGAGAAATCAATTGAGACACTGGAGCCGAAACTTTCTTGGAATTCAGTCTCAGGGAGAAAAGACGCCGTTAAAACTTGAATTTTAAGCATTTTATGACGCAATTTCTGTGGTCTACGACTACGACTAGACTACTAGCCAGATCGAGTTTTCTATTAAACAATTTGATTATGAGCTCGAGATTTCTTTCTTTTAGTATAAACCTACTAGTCGTTCGAAACTTTATCTAAATTTTCTTCACAGACACTTCGAAAACGCCAAGAAGCGGCCGTCATTTCGTTAACAAGCGCACACTGCTACGCTACTCACTATCTATAACAGAATAGATAGTGAGTATCATAGCCAATCAGAAAACGCCATTCGTGATAGAACGCTAGTAGATTCATACTAAGAGTGCATAGTCAACGAGGCGTAGCCGAGTTGTTTTAACAGACAGTCTAAAGGATTACGCCACAAAAATTACAATTTTGTGTATATTTAAGCCCAAAATTAAGAATAATTTTCAATTTTAAGACCAGCGCGCGCGCGGCCGTTGTCTACCAGCGAAAAGACCACCGATAAGAACCGATCAGATTTGCGGATTTCCAATAGAACACAGCTGAGAGACTTCTAATAGAGTGTAGATCGTGGATAAAATAGCTAAAAATGTTTTCTGTCTTGAAAATTGCAGAACTTGTAGTATGGATTGAACGGAGTACCACATAGAAAGATGAAATTATGCAGGAGGGAAGCTGGAATATCACAAAAGTGGTTTGTTGCTATTCAAGTTTATTGATTTTGACTTACCTGAGCCACTGTCTGTTAATGAATGACGAGGTTCAAAAGACGCCATTATGTTTTCCTGTTCCCTGTTGTAAAAGCACTTGACGACGTAGTCGTGGTCATAAGCGAAAGTTACAGGATAGGTGGCGGAACCAGCTACTGCATCAACGGAAATTTCAAATTTGTATTCAAATTGGCTACTGTCGGGAGTTATAGACGGGTCGCCGGTAGTACAGACTGAGGCGTTAATATTGGAGTACGATACCACGCCTTGATCAAATGTCGGCTCACATGCTTCATCTGGTGTATCGTTTAAACTCCAAGAACGTTCGTCAGTGGAACCTTCCCATTCATTAATATCAGGTATGTAGATCACAAAACTGATTGATGAGGCGTCACTGCAGTTTATACTTTGCAAGGTTGCAAGTTGACCTGTATAATACACGAAGAATTTATTTTTAGGTTATACATTAGCTTATATTTCACACATTTCGCCTTGCTCAAACGAAATGGGCGCGTTTAACCTGATTTGATCACAAAACCCCCACCAACTAACGTGGTAAAACTCGGAAGTTCCTTGCAAGGAATTTACTCTCTTTTTGCTATAGACAATACATTACTTTAAATTTTTCCTATTAGACGGGATTTACGAAATTGATGTTAAAGAAAAGTTCGTTCTTTTTCTACAAAGTGAGTTAAAGACTTTGAGTTTTCTCCTAGAGGTCTGAAAATCACTCCAACTCATAGAAAAAAATGGGGTGAGAATAGGTAGGGTACAGAAAGGAGGATAAGAGAATTTTATATCGCCTGCTTTAGAGATATTTTTGTCGAGGAAACAAAACATTTAGACTGAGTTGCGGCCCAAAGGATGAAACTTTCATTAGAACCCTTATTTTAAGTTTACAACTGCATTACGACGAATCCGTTACCGAAAACTAAACTAATCCTTTTTTAATCCTTAATAAACCGGTTTACACGGGCCACATTAACACACGCATTTAGTTTTTCGTTTTCTCCCCACTGAATAAAAACTGGATTTGAAACCAAAATATCATTTTTAAGGAATTAAGACATTCTGATTTTCCGTTTTAGCGCCTGCTTTTATTGGAAACGCTTTGGAGTGTGTTATCGAGTGCAAAAAATATTTCATTTTTAGTAAACGACTTTTATTATAACGACTAACGAGGTTGGTTTATTTGGCTGAATATAATGTGTAGCGATCGCGTTGTCGATTACCACCAATGTTATATTTTTGTGTATTTGTTTGTTCTTTTTATTGACTTGAAGGAGTTACCATTATTCACCTGTGAGGAGGTGAATACTATTTCAAACTAGAAACTTGTAAAAGTACTAAATAGAATATTCCACTTGATACGCCACGCAGGAAATATCAAATGGCAGCTGGATATTAAGACATACCTTGGACGACAGAAGCTCCAAACAATAAAAAAACAGCAATGACCAAACAGAATGTCTGCTTCATTTTCTCGTCAATTCTTTCTTTGTTTCTTGTCTTAAATCTGTTGCAGAGACAATAACAACCTCTATTAAAGATAAACGTTTATTTCCTGGTTTGAATGGAAGGCGGAGTTGCCAAATGGTTGAGCCAACAGATTGAGAAGGTCTGGCTCGTGCAAGCGCTGTACGGGTCAGTGAGCAGTGTTCACGGGCGAGACACTTTACTTTAACTATAGTTTTCTACAATAAGGTTTTGCCAAAGGTTTTTTTCATTATTATTATTAACAATATCTACATTACCTTTATAATACATACAAATAATACTTACAATGCACAAGAATACAACAAAAGAAAAGAAGAATCCTGTTACATTCACTACTATAACTTGCAAAAAGTTGCGTTATATCCTACAAGGTACCGAGAAAAGTATAATACAGCCCCAAGTTACAAACTTCTTGTCAATTAAATTTTTGGTTTTGCCAAAGATAAATATATCCAGTTCTTTATCGTTTTATGAATTATACATTTACATTCGAGTATACTCAGTTCAGAAAGCGAAAGCCATTTTTTCGGCCACGTTTGTTGACAAGAGTTAAAAGATCAGC